CTACTGACTGTACCTGTAGGAAATTCATCATTCAGTTGTCATTTTGACTAAGACAACATCTGTTTTCCTGGCATGCTGTAACCTGGTGTGTTTCTAGGCATCAAGGCATGCTGTTGTTGTATTAAACTGCTGCTAGCTTCATTTTTTGTTGTGGAACAGAGGTAAAAAAAAAATTTCATGGTAACTACAATGTCATTCAAACCTTAAAAAAAGAACTACTCTCTTCTTTTAGATTGGTTAACATATGTGTGCTTGCTCAGGTCTTTATTTAATTTATTCATCTGCATGCTATCTGCACAAAAAAATAAAAAATAATTAAAAAAGCAGCAGTGTAGTAGAGGAATGGAGTTCTCTAAAGACAGCAACATGTGCCAACAAAAAGAAAAAAAGGGCATGAAATAATAATGCTAAAAAAAAACCTTCACAGCCAAAAGGTTGTGGGTTTGACCTGCTGAGGCTTTTCTGCGTGGAGTTAACATGTCTCTGTGTACCTGCATGGGTTTTCTCTGGGTGCTTCCTCCCACAGTCCAAAGACATGCATAGTAGGTAAATCAATGATTTTACATAGCCATTGGTGTGAAGTTGAGAATGCAGTTTTGTCTGTTCGTGTTAGCCCTGTGATGGACTGGCAACTTTTCCAGGGTGTACACTGCCTTAAGTCCAGTGTCGGCTGTGACAGGCCAGAGCCCTCACCCCGTAACCCTCTACAGGATAGAGTGCGTATAGAATCAGACTCTGTTTTATTGCTAAGTAGGTTTTCATCGACCAAAACAGAGGACAGGAAACAGAGAATGTTTCCCAACCCCCCAGACATGATGCACAATAAAATGGTACATCTAAACTTAGACAGTGATGCAGCAGATGACACTCATATGACCACTATACCTGATCCATTCGTACCAAACTGATTGGAGTCAGGATGAACTGAAATGAACTGGCACTGAGAAAACTCATTTTCATTTATTTTTATTTTTTTCCCCAGATTTGGTGCTAAATTGTATGAGTTAATTTGATCTTCACTCCAGTAAAGAAGCATTTATCCCTAAAACAACGTTGCACAGAAGTCAGTATGCTCAAAACTAATTTTGTAGGAAGCAACATAGTGTTTATACAGGTTTTAAACACTTGCCCTTAAAGTGGAGTGAAAAGTCCCTGGAAGAACTGAAAACACAAGATCATATCTTTATCTATACTTCTTAGTAACAACATCACACTCTTTCTTGGTCAAATTTCTCTTTCCATTCATAGTGTTACATTGAATTATAACATACATGATAAATGATGAAATAATTTAATGACAACTAAAAAAGAAGAGCCTGAGAATTTCTAGCCCTGCTTTCTTCAGAAATGTAGATGTGCAAGCAAAGAGGTGTAAGACGAAACATGTCAGCAAATCCTACGTATGGCCAAAAGCGATGGGTCTGTTCCAACACCCAAACTTACAATGCATGAGTAGTCAAGTGTGATGAGTTTCTTATTACCACACACATACTTGACTGATCATCACACAGACACTGCAGGTGGCAGAATCCAGCTCAGAGGTTGGCACAAATAGTACCAACCATACAGAATTACAATTACAATCAGGTAAGATGTGTCACACATTCAGGGGTTGAGAGGAATAATACCGCTTCAGTAGATTAATCTAGAACCACACAGCTGTCCTGCATGTAAAGTCCCATGGTACTGCTGTCCGTCCTGATCTGTCATTCTATTCCTCACCAAATTGTGCTGTCTGATTGTGGCAGTATTGTCGAAACCAGCTTTTGCTTTTTGTTTTCAAATTCA